TCCCCTGTTGCCCGCTCTGTGCTCCGAGAACCCTCAGCTGTTCACTCGCCAGAACCGTTTTCTGATACTAGCCAGCCAAGAAATAGCTAAGTTTCCCATTCTTGTAGAGTCTGAACCACGTCAGATGTCAGCTGCGCCCATGAACAACATGGATCAAGCTATCCTCCGTTTTTTGCAGTACTGGCATGCGTGGGGTGGTCATGAGGCGTTTAAACACCACGTGGCCGTCCACTGCTCGATGCAGAGCAGAAGGCTCGGCAACCCTATATATCGGTGGACTTACGCCGACGAGCGCGAGAATCGGCTTATAGGGGCCGTGGCCAAATCCCCGCGCCACGGGGATGCATTTTATACGGCGCTGCTACAGAAAGTATTGCCAGAGAGGTTATAATACGTCTAACGTTTCTGCTTTTTTGTTGGTCAACACCTTCTTTAAATTTTTTTGAGGCTTGTTAAGCAGCCATCGAATTCAGGAGGAGGCGCCGGGAGACAGGGCAGGAGCGACGCGCTTCGAGCTGCCCTGTCATATGGGGTTGAGGGACAGGGGGGCGAGGAGGGCAGGACAACGAGGAGGACGCGGGAGTACGACAATGGGGAGTTGCAGGACAGCAGGAATGCGTTAGTACTTGCCACAGACCTTGCGGGGTGCCTCGTGGACGCCGCTGGGCGTCCGGCACGCGTTGGGCCCGACGCTTCGGATTGATCCTTGTTTCGACACAAGGAGAGGAAGGAGGAGGAGGAAGAGGAAAAAGTGGAGGACGGCGACAAGACGGATAATGATGATTGATGATGATTGATCATGATGATGGTGATGATGATGGTGCCGTTGATGATGCTGATGATGATGATGATACTGATAATGATGAGGATGATGACGATGATGCTGATGATGATAATGATGATGATGATGACGATGATGATGATGATGCTGATGATGTCATTGGTGAGCTAAGGAGGGCGGGGATTATGAGGAGCAGGAAGAGGAAAAAGGGGAGGGATCACACGCGGCGCACGTTGAGTTTCACTCCCGTGCACGCGGCAATCAGGCCCGTTTCTCCCTCCACATGCCCTCCTGCATTGGACGCGGCCTCCCCCGTGAATGTCATCGGGCATTTTCACCAGGGTACATGCGTTTAGGCAGTTGTCCGCACGTGGGTACCTCCAACACGTTGGGCCCCAGGAGTCCTTAAACTTAACCTAGGGTTTTTGATGTTATAAACCTGCCGTAACATGTGGGACTATTCGTCTCCCCGTAGAGTTCTCTCCTGACGACTCCCGCACATGTTTTTGCAATGCCCGTTTGCACATCGAAACTTCAGGGTGAAATCCACTAGTGCCGATGCCCTCACATCTTGCCCCTTGGATCTTGCGACCGCGCCGCCGCCCGAGCGCGAACGTATATTTTTATATATATATATATATATATATACATACATACATGACGTTTGACACAGACAGTGTTGCCGAGCAGCCTCGAAAAGGCGATGGGGGCTGACGATGCTCCTGCTTCAGCGCCCCATGAAGCGTCATTCCTGGCCATCGGGTCGCATTGTCATTCTCTACAACTCCTTCCCGTTCCCTTAGTTATTATATATTTCTTTCTCTCTCCTGGCCTTGTCCTCCTATGTGCAGATATGTGTTTGTGTTTGCATATATATATGTGTAAATGTATGCATGTGTATATATATATACAGATATACGTACACACATACATACATGCATACATACATACATATATGCATACATACATGCACACATACATACATACATGCATACATACATACGTACATACATACATATATATACACATACATACATACATATACCTACATATATATATATATGTATATGTATAATCCCCGTCCTCCCGATCCTCAAGTATTCCGCCTCTCCGCCACCAGGCGGCGCTGCGCCGCTACGGACAGCCACGTCCTCGTCCTCCTCGTCCTCCTCGTCATCGTCCACGGCGCGAAATCCATGGCAATTGTCTTCGACATACGGTCATCACCGTCACAACCGTCATGGCTCGAAGCCGTCACCAAAGTCACAAGTATCATCACCACACACCTGTATATATATATATATATATATATATACACATATATGTGTGTTTACATACATACATACATACATACATACATACATACATACACACATATCTGTATATATATATGTATATACACCACATATATAGATACACTTACACTGTCATCAACATCATGTCCACAGGCATAACCATCGGCATCATCATTGTCATCATAGTAGCCATGACCATCATGGTCATCATCGTCGTGTTTATCACCATTCAAAGCTGATGCACATTCTCGTTGAATGCCGACCACATGGATGGCTTGATGTTTGCGATCATGGCTCGATTATTGCTACATGGCTTGGTTTCGCCTGGCAGGCTTGAAAAAATCATTGCCATTTCCATGCTGATGATTTTTGCATGCCGCCAAGATGCGCGGGTTCGTCAGGCACTCCAAGTACATCAAAATTTTGCCATGGGCCCTGCGCGGGGCCCCTGCCCAGCCCCGCCGCGGGGCTGGTGGGTGGCCGCAGGTGGATCTGGCAAGGGTGGAACAGCGGGGTGGGCGGCAGTGATCTTTCGCTGCGATGGTCCGGAGACCCCCGGTCAGATTCCGGACTTCGTGCTCCGCGCCCCAGTAGTTACCGCTCAGTGGGATCACCGGTGGCTCGGGGCACGCGATGAGACCAATCACACTGCTGAGCTTTCGGAGATAGGCGAGGTTATGATATTGCCGTTAGAGGAAGCCTCCGACCCTGGAGGCGCCCCGGTGCACATCCGGCACGAATCGGAATATGCAGCCAATATGGCGCAGGGAATCTGGACGCCGAGCGCCACTGAAGAGCTGCCCCAAGCCGTCCGGGATCTCGCGCAGGAGGCCCATCAGACCCGTCAGATCACTTGGGGGCACGCGCATGGCCGCACAGGCGCCCATGACGGTGAGCTTGCCGACCGGGCTGCCGACGTAGGTAGGCGGGGCTTCGCCTCAGCGCAGTCCGGCTGGCGGTCGGCGCCGCCACCAGTGGTTTGCGATTTATCATATGATGCGACGGACATCTGTAAGAAGTGCGGCCAGAGGGTCCTGAGTAAGGACATCGCTTGACATGTTCGCAGATGCGCCGTGGCAGATCACGTCCTTCCCGAAGGATAGTGCCGCAAATGCGAGGCGTTGATCCTCGCGGCGGGCCGTCTACAGCACGATGGCAAGCGCCGCGGATCGCGCCCGGCGAACCGCGCGCGCGGCATGTGCGGCAAGCTATTTCCCGAGCCCCCGCCGGGGCAGCTGCCCAGGCCCATGCGGAACCGCGAGGTGCAATGCAGGGGCGCGCCGAGACCTCTGCCGACCGGCGGGGCCCCTCCTCCTCCGCCCCCCCCCCCCCCCCCCCCGGGCTCCTCCTCTTCCTCCTCCTCCTCCTCCTCCGTCGTCCTCTTCTTCTTCTTCTCGCCCCGCCCCCCTCCTCGCCCCGCCCCCGCTCGGCGCGGGCCGAACGCGCCCGGGCCATCCGCCAGCGGGTAGCAAGGCGCCGCCGAAGGCAGAGCCGCCAGGTCGGCGGCTAGGCGCCCTACAGCGCGCCATCGCGAAGCGCCGCCCCCCCGCCAAACTAGGCGCAGGGGGGCGGGCGAAGGGCTCGTCACTGAGCAGAGGGGCCAAAGCGAAGGCGGGAAAGGCAGCTGCCCCGAAGCGGGGGCCCAGGTAGGGGGGGCCTGGCTGACGAAAGCAGGAGCGCAGTTGCATTGATTATCGCTGGGTTTTTCGCCTTGCCCCCCCCCCATTCGCGCCCCCCCCCCCTTTTCCTTCAGGTGACAGTAATGGTCTGTGCATCGTTGTTATCTTGTTTGGCTTGTTGCGCCCCTGCGCCCGGTTGTTATGTTTTCCTTTTTCGGGCGCGACTCGCGGCGATTCTCTCCGCGTCTGCTGCGGTCCAGGGGCCAGTTCTCGCGCTGCCCCTCGCGCCGGTGTAGGTTAATCCTGCGCCGGGGGAGGGCGCAGGTTCTTCCGGGCTCCACATTGCGCCGTCGCCGGTCTCCTGGCCCTCGACGCCGCCCTCCCCCAGGCCCTCGGCGGCAGGAGGGCCGCCCCCAAGAGGGGCACGGCGATGTGTTATCTGGCAAACGTGCGAAGCCACGCCCTGTCAAAAACTCGCTTGGCGTTGCGTTCCTCCTTTCTCCCTCCCCCCCTCTTCCTCCTCCTCCTCCTCCCCCTGCTTTCTCCTCGTCGTCCCGCCTCTCTTCCCTTCTGTTCTGCCCCTTCCTCCTCATCTTGTTTCTGTTGGGTGCTGGGCCATTGCTACCATCTCCCACCCCTTCTGTCTTTGTCAACGCGAGTGCCCCACCGCGCACCCATTGCATGCCATTGCGCGCGCGCAGGGATCACGGCGCTGTCTCTATATTTCGTCACATTCGCCCGCCGCGAGCCCGTCAGGAATGCTCTTGCGTCGGCCCGCCCCCGCCCCCGCTGTCCGGGAGCAATGGCGGCGCGCGGGGCAGCGGTGGACGAGAGGTTCGCGGCGCTCGAGGCGCGCGCGCGACGTTGGCTGCAGCGCGTGAAGAGAGACCTGGGTGAAGTGCGCAAGAGCTGCCACATCGCCCTCGAAGGGTTCGACAAGGTGGAGAGCGTTAACTGGGCAGGACACGCGCCGAGCCAACAGCGGAGGGAACTCCGCCTGGCAGTGCCGAGGGCGGCGGGCGAGGACCTGCGAGGCCCTTCAGGTGCCGTGGCCGCTGCCGCAGGAGGACTCCCAGGAGTTCCAGGCGCCGGGCGACGCGGGGCTGGCTATCTCTAAGATAGTCAGTGGCCTGGCCGGCGCGGACGCGCTGGCGCGCGTCTTCGACCAGCCGGCGGCGGGGGCCGAGTCGAGGGCGCCGCCCGGTTGACCCTCCGGTTCGGGGATGAGCCCCTGTCGGCGCAGGCGGCGCTGGCCTTTTTGGACGGGCCGCTTCGCGCGGCAGCGGGCCTTCCCGTTCGCGGGAGGCCTGCACCGCCGAGGGCGGAGAGGGCCCCTGCCCCGAAGCGCAAGCTGGCGCGCGCCGAGGCAAAGCCGGAGGAGCGGGGGCGCAAGCGCGCGCGCCAGGAGGCCAGCGGAGGCAGCCCCAAGGGCAAGGGCGGGAAGAGCGGCAAGGAGCGCGACGGCAAGAACGGCGGCAATGGCAAGGGCAAGAAGGGGGCCAAGGGACAGGGAAAGGGCAAGGCCCAGGGCAAAGCGCCCGCCGCACCTGCGGCAGAGCCCGCCGCCAGCGCCCCCGCGGCCTCTGCAGCCCCGGCGCCGGCGGCAGCCCCGAGCGCAGTGGCCCGGGCCAAAGCCGCCGCCGTCGCGGTGGCCGCGGTCCACGCCGAGGCCGCCCCAGCTGCTCCCGGAGCAGCGGCCGCCGGCAGCGCCGACCTCCCCCCTCGGGGGCGGGGGCGGCGGGGGGGCGTGAGCGCCTAGCAGCGCCCGCCGGCGTCGCACTATGAGGGGGCTTCGCCGCGCCCCCGGCGGCGTCGAAGCGGAACGCGGTGGGATTGGTTATACAGGCTGATGCTTAGTTCCCCCCCCCTCCCTTCCCCTCTCGCCTGCTCCACCCTCCTCGCCCCTCCCTGCTCCTGCCCCCGGCGGGCGTTCGAGGTAGCTGCGGCGGCGAAGACGCTCGCGGGTGTCTGGCTCTTGTGCGGAAGCTCGTGGGTGCACTCGCCCCTTCGGCTCCTCCTTCTTCCGTCGCCCCCCTCTTCCCTCCCTCTTGCCCCGCCCCCTGCCCCCCCCCCCCCCCTCCCGCGCCCCCCCGCCCCCCCCCCCCCCCCCGACCCCCCTGCGGGCCTCGCTTTCATCCGTCCTCCTTTATCGCCTTAGGCGCACTTTCTTTTTTGGGCGCCCAGCACCTGGGGGCCCTCTCCCGCCCGCCGAACGTCGGCGACGCGGCGGAGGACGAGGGCGAGGACGAGGGCGAGGACGAGGAGATGAGACGTCAGGCGGAGACGGGGCAAGCGCCGGCGTCGACCGCGTTCCCCGACGTCCGCGAGCCGACGCCAGAGGAGAGACAGCGTCGCGAGGAGAACCAGCGCTGCCCACCGCGGCGCTGGCGCGAGCACTGCCAGATGGGACGTGAACGTGGCAGGCCCCACGAGCTCCCCGATGCGGAGGTGGAACGCCTCCCCGTGATCGGGCCCGGCCCGGCGTTCTTCAAGGGCGAGGCGGCCGACGCCGTGGAGGCGGGCCCCCGCGCCGAGGATGGCCAGAGACAGGACGAGGAGGTGGTGCTGGTGGTCGCGGATGCCGACACGGGCGCCACGAGGAGCGCCCCGAAGCCTGACCGACGCGCTGATCCCTACACGGCGGCAGCCACGGTGGCGTTCATCAAGAGCCTTTTCCATCAGAAGGTGATCTTAAGGCCAGACCATGAGGATGTCATGATGGACCTGGCCAACCAGGTCGAGGCAGAGCCGCCCAACCGCGCGGTCGCGAGACCTGCCCCTGCGTTCAGCCCCCAGTCGAACCCCTCCGAGAACAGGCGCAGTTCCGCGCGAGCAGGAGCGCGCTGGAGGCGCGACTGGGGGCCAGGGCCCGACCAGTCACGGCCATGCACAAGCGGTTGCAGCGCCGCACGGGCTGGGCATGCACCGACTTGAGAATCAAGGCGAGCGGTCGCACCGCACATGAGGTCCTCTACGGCCACGCCTACACCAGGGATATGGCCACCCAAGGGGAGTCCGTCCTGGCGCGCCTACCTAGGGGCAAGAATCGCAGGGCGAGAGGCAAGGTGTACCACAAGGGTGATATGGACTTCGCGAGGGCGGTCTGGCTAGGGAAGAGTTACGACACCGGCGAGCGCATCTGCGCCCTCGACGGGCGAGCTAGTCACGACGAGGACCGTCAGGAGGCTGCCCGAGGAGCGGAGGTTCAATCGCACTGCCGTGGCGGCGATTACGCGCATGCCATGGCAGCGCCGAGGGCAGGGCACGGCCCCGCGCGGGAGCGAGCCGATTGTTACACCCCCTGCCGCTGCGGACGCCGACCTGGCGGCGCAAGAGGCAGCTGAGGCACAGCCAGACCCGAGCGCTGCTGCCCGGTCCACTGGGGCCCCCCATGGCGGCGGGGCAGCAGCCCAGACGGGCGCGCCCGTGGCGGCGCCCTCGGCCGATGCGGCAAGCGGTGCCGAAGCGACCGCTGGGGACAGGCGCGCGGGCCAGCGACGCAGACGTCGGCTGGAGGTGGCGCTGGGGAGGACACCCCCATGACGCCGAGGGCTGCAGCGCCACCGAGCGTGGCCCCGCAGACCCCCCTGATGGGTCGATCGCCGAAGCGACCCGCGGAGGAGGGTGACGACCGCGGCACCCTTGCGATGTCCCGAGTTAGCGGAGTAGCAGCTGAGCATTGTGGTGACGTTCGGCTTGGCTTCCTGCAGACCTCAGGGACATGGGTGCCCCTGATCCCCACGATGCGTCGGACTCGCAGTTGATCGAAACTTCCACCAGACGGGCCCTCGACGGCCTGAGACAATACGGGGTGGGCAAGCTCGTCAAGCACAGCGAGGCCGCTGGCAAGAGGATCAGCGCCCGCTGGGACCATGTCTACAAGTGGGGCGCGAACCTCGGATGAAGGATCGCTAAGTCAAGGTACGTCGCGCGAGAGTTCAAGCGGCAGGAGTGCCGCGACGACCTCTTCGCGCCGGGGAGCAGCATGGCCGACAGCCGAGTGGTGGACTACGTGGCTCTGAAGCACGGATGGCCCACCTTCACCGCTGACGCGGAGGACGCGTACGACCATGTCCCCGAGGAGGAGGGCGCGCGGGTCGAGTGCCCACCTGAGGTCCTGGAAGAGTGCCGCGCGAAGGGCGACACCGAGGACTACGTTTTGCAGCTCGCGAAGCAGTTGCCAGGGCGGCGTGCTGGAGGGAAGCGCTGGGTCGAGTTCGCCGCGGAGCAGCTCGTGGCCAGGGGCTTCGGGCGGTCGCCGACCGCGCCCCAGTTCTTCTGGCGCGCCGAGCTCCCATCGCGCCACCCCAGGGGTGGAGGCGCGCAGGACAGGCAGGGATGACGCGCCCGACCTCAGCCCAGACGAGGCTAAGCTGCTCAGGAGCGTGACCATGTCCCTGCTGTTCTACATGCACGACCGTGAGGATGCCCAGTCCGACGTCAACTACCTGACCTCGTGCATCTCATCGCCCCGTGAGGCGGACATGCGAGCCCTCAAGAGGCTGGCAAGGTACCTGAAGGGCACGAGGGAGCTGGGCGTGAGGGTGGCCAAGCCCACCGCGCCGCAGGACATCGTCGACCTGGTCGCGTGGACAGACTCCGACTGGGCATGCGACGCGAAGGAGCGGAAGAGCCCGACCAGCGTGCACCTCATTGCGCGTGGGTGTCCGATGCTCGGGATCAGCTGTCGCCAAGACGTGCAGTCCCTTAGCAGCTGCGAAGCCGAATGGCACGCTGGAGCTCGAGGTCTCAGCGAGGGACTTGGGCTTAAGGCGCTCTTCGCGCTCATGGGCTACAGCGTGCGCATGAGCTGGCGATGCGACAGCTCGAGCGCGAGAGCGCTGGCGAGGCGTCAGGGCACTGGGCGGATCAAGCACCTTGCCACGAAGACGCTCTGGATCCAGCAGTTGGTGGCCAGGAAGGCCATCGCCGTCGAGCCCGCGGGCGGCGAGAACAAACCGGCTGATCCCGGCGCAAAAGGTGTTGCCGAGGACACGCCTCGAGCGGCTCCGTGAGAGCTGCGGGTTGAAGGAGGTGCCCGTGCCAGGGGCCTCGAGGGTTGCTGGAGTCGGGGCCGTGCCGACCGACTTCCAGGCCCAGTCGAACCAGCTGAAGGCGCTGGGGAAGCTCGACCGAGCTGTGCGAGGCGCCGCGGGGGATGGGCGAGAGCGCGCTGACTCCAGTGACCACGCTGGGAGTCGCGACTGAGGGCTACTATGTGAGCCTGACTGTGCTAATGGCGGGCGTGGGCTTAGGACTCTTGCTTGCTCTGCTGGGATTTTCCTTGATTTGCAAGTGCTGTCCGCGTGCGAGGCCGAGCTGGTGCCGCGCGGGCGCCCTGCCGCGAGGCGGCGGCGGCGGGGGGCAGCCTCGCGCTCCGTTCGAGGGGTTGAGCGAGCCAGCAGTGAAGGTCAAGTCAAGGAAGGGCGACCGCAGAAGGGCGGTTGCCACCCAAAGCCAGGTCAAGTATGCCTGGTGGACGACCAGCCCCCGTTTCCAGCCCGTGGGACCGCGAGAACAGGGGGTGTGGTCCAGGTAGGGCCTTGAGCTGTGTACTGTTAGATGCGCTACAGGCGCGAGCCTGGACCTCATCGACTTTGCGTCGAGGCACTGCGGGCTTGAATTTCATGTTCTAGAACCCTGGATGGAGCGGTGACCCCGAGGGGTGTCCGAGGAAGAGCGGGCCCACCACCCGCTCCCCGCTCGGCCAGGCGGCGTGCTCGGGATCTCGTGCGATTCGGACGCCATCAATTCATAACATGCCCGCAGGCCCTTTTGTTCGAGCTGCGTTGGAGGAAAAAGAGCCCCACGATGCGCTTTCCCCGCGCATCCGCGTAACTTCCGCCAGTTTTCGGCCCAGGGGGCGTTTTTTCGAACCGTGCGCGGGACGCGGGGCCGCCAAGAACCGGCCCAGGACGAAGAGCGTTGGCCCGGATGGGCCCCAGGACGGGTTCCAAGCCAGACTTTGAATTTATTCCGGGCGCGAGGTTCAATTACCCCAAAGCGACCCGACCTAGGAGTTAGAGCCCCGAGGAGAGCAATATTAGTAGTAACGGTAAACGCCGTCCTCCTCCTTCTTCTCATCGTCGCAGTTGTACTAGTAGTAGTAGTAGTAGTAGTAGTAGTAGTAGTAGTAGTAGTAGTAGTAGTAGTAGTAGTAGTAGTAGTAGTAGTAGTAGTAGTAGTAGTAGTAGTAGTAGTAGTAGTAGCAGTAGCAGTAGTAGTAGTAGTAGTAGTAGTAGTAGTAGCAGCAGCAGCAGCAGCAGCAGCAGCAGCAGCAGCAGCAGCAGTAGTAGTAGTAGTAGTAGTAGTATTAGTAGTAGTAGTAGTAGTAGTAGTAGTAGTAGTAGTAGTAGTAGTAGTAGTAGTAGTAGTAGTAGTAGTAGTAGTAGTAGTAGTAGTAGTAGTAGTAGTAGTAGTAGTAGTAGTAGTAGTCAGTAGTAGTAGTAGTAGTAGTAGTAGTAGTAGTAGTAGTAGTAGTAGTAGTAGTAGTAGTAGTAGTAGTAGTAGGTAGTAGTAGGTAGTAGTAGTAAGTAGTAGTAGTAGTAGTAGTAGTAGTAGTAGTAGTAGTAGTAGTAGTAGTAGTAGTAGTAGTAGTAGTAGTAGTAGTAGTAGTAGTAGTAGTAGTAGTAGTAGTAACAGTGTAGTAGTAGCAGTAGTAGCAGTAGTAGTAGTAGTAGTAGTAGTAAGTAGTAGTAGTAGTAGTAGTAGAAGTAGTGGTAGTAGTAGTGGTAGTAGTAGTAGTAGTAGTATAGCAGTAGTAGTAGTAGTAGTAGTAGTAGTAGTAGTAGTAGTAGTAGTAGTAGTAGTAGTAGTAGTAGTAGTAGTAGTAGTAGTAGTAGTCGTAGTCGTAGTAGTAGTAGTAGTAGTAGTAGTAGTAGTAGTCGTAGTAGTAGTAGTAGTAGTAGGTAGGTAGGTAGGTAGGTAGGTAGGTAGATAGGTAGATAGGTAGGTAGGTAGGTAGGTAGGTAGGTAGGTAGTAGTAGTAGTAGTAATAGTACAGTTTAGTACCTACATCTACATCCAGACCTACATCCACATCTACACATACAGCTACATCTACATGTACAGATGCATCTACATATACATCTACACCTACACCTACACCTACACTCACATCAACATATACACCTACATGTACACCTACATGTACATCTACATCTACATATACACCTACATTCACATATACACCTACACCTACATCTACACCTACATCTACATCCACATATACAGCTAGCCAAGCTAAGCTAAGCTATGCTATGCTGTGCTCTGCTATGCTATGCTGCGCTATGCTATGCTATGCGCGGCTCTGCTCTGCTATGCTGCGCTATGCTTTGCTATGCGAAGCTATGCTGCGGTATGTTATGCCCTGACATGGTATGCTATGCTATGCTATGGTATGCCGCGCTGTGCGATACTAAGCTATGGTATGATATGCTATGCTTTGCTGCGCTATGCTATGATATGATATGCTATAATGCGCTATGATATGATGCGCTATGCTATGATATGGTATGATTTGCCATGCGAATGCTGCGCTAAGCTAAGCTGAGCTAAGCTAAGCTAGACTACAGTTACAGCTACAGCTACCCGAAACTAAGATGAAGCTAAGCTGAGCTTAGCTAAGCTAAGCTAAGCTAAACTAAGATGAGATAAGCAACGCTAAGCTAAGGGGCCGTAGCTGGGGGAACCGCGGGGCGGATCCTGGGGGAACCGCTCGGGGCGAGCCCCACTGCCCGGCCCCTTTAAGCACAGAGAGTAAGAACCCTTCTAGGCAGAGCCTAGGTAGGGAAAAAAGGGAAAACATACCAGGGCCTGTGTGAAGGGGGGGAGGGCCCTGAGATCCTGCCGTTTCAATGTTTCCGGGCTTTGCGTTTTCGCCCGGTTTCGCACCGCAGGACCCTCACATATCGATCTGGTTCGAAAAATGGTGCAGAAAGATCGGGTCCGAGGGTCTGGATCTGATTTTTCCCAACACTCCTGTGGAGTTGGGTATTCGCTTTGAGTTCGCAGCGCCGCGCGTCTCCTCTCCTCATCCCCCCTTCCTTCCTCCTCCCTGGTGCCTCGCCAGCACCATCATCTTGATATCAATCACCACCCTCATCATTATCATCACATGTTCGTCACACCTTCACACGGTTCGTACCGCCCCAGGGAGCTCCACCACAGGCCCCAGCGACGGTTCTAGCAGTGCAGGATGCTTCATCCTCCTCTTCTCTTTTGCCTTTTCGCATCTCGGTAGACCCGTCACACGTTTCGTGACCCCATCGGCAGTTCCACCGGGGGCCCGAGTGGCAGGATTCACATGGGTACCCGCCCCATTTCAGCACACCCCTCACACGTTTCGTGGCCCCATAGGGAGCTCCACCGAGGGCCCCAGTGGCAGGGTTCACATGGGTACCCGCCCCAAATCGGCAGACCCCCTTCACACGTTTCGTAGCTTCATAAGGGAGCTCCACCGAGGGCCCAGTGGCAGGGTTCACATGGATACCCGCCCCATTTTCGCAGATCCCACACACGCTTCGTGGCCCCATTGAGGGGTCCACCGGGGGCCCCAATGGCAGGGTTCACAAGAGTACCCGCCCCGGTTCGGCACACCCCTCACACGCTTCGTGGCCTCATAAGAAGCTCCACCGAGGGCCCCAGTGGCAGGGTTCACACAGGTACCCGCCCCATTCCGGCACACCTCTCACACGTTTCGTGGCCTCATAGGGAGCTTCACCGAGCGCCCCAGTGGCAGGGTTCACATGGGTACCCGCCCCATTTTCGCACACCCCTCACACGCTTCGTCCGTGGAATGGGTTGGGTTCTTCGCTAGGGTAGTTCACCATCCTGCAGTTTTGTCGAGACGTCGGATCTCAGTGGAGGAGGGGAGGTGAAAAAGGGGGGGCAGGGGGCGAATGATTTGGGGGACGAGCGTGGCCCGGCAGGGGGAGACGAGGAGAGGAGCAGAGGGGAGGGGAGGAGAACCTTCCCTCTCCTCCTCCTCGCTATCTGTGGGCTTTCTTTGGGGGCTTTCATCGCCACGGCCAGACTCGTCCTGCAGCCCTGGCTAGAGCGCACTCCTGGAGGGGAGCGGTGGTACTGCAGGCACGTCAGATGAGAAGCCAGCGGGTGCCCCCCGCTGACGTTTCTTAATCCCCCGATGGCCCTCGTGACCCAGAGAAGCCACGGGGCACCATGCGGTCAGGAACTTCGGCTTAGCGTGTCGCGCCGCCAGTGCTGGCGCGACACGCTATACACGTCCCAGTCCCCAAGCGTCAACGTCTTGAGTTTTCCCCAGCCTCCTGCATCGCGGAGCGGAGCGACACGGTCTCCGTTTGCAAAGCACAGCGTGTTGCTGGGGCCGCCGCCGCGACACGCTACGCAACGGTTCCTGACCGTAGAAAGCTCAGCGGTTGATATCAACCGTTCCCCGAGATGTCTTGTGGCAAGATACCCCACCGTATGCACACGCCCGAGACATGCAATGTCAGGACAACACGCGGTCCCTCGAAGTTCCGACCCTTTCTCCAGGGCAGGCGTCTCGTCCTTGGCCGACCCGGGACGAAAAGCCCGCTCTGGGTCCGTCAAAAAGCGACTGTGTTTTGACGGTCCCGGGGCCCGGCGAGGGCCCCCTGCGGGCGAAAATTGACCCACATCCTTCCGCATGTTTTTATTCGACCGGAGCATGTCTGGGGCTGAATCCGTTTGCCCGCCCAGTCCCACGGCTTCGGCGGCGGTGAGCTCGAGGAGGTGATGGAGAGCACCTGGGCGCCGAGGAGGGCCAGGGACATGCCCGCGCAGGCTTCCGGCCCAGCCGCTGGCGCGCTCGACGCCGATTGCGAAGACGCTTCGGAGGGCAGCCTGTGCCACCACTCGGTCATCAGAGGAGGAACATCGCAGGCCATTTTTCTCCCCCAATCCCTGAGCTCCGCCCGAAAAGTTTGACCGCTCAGAAAAGGAGGGAAACCCTCCCCAGGGGGCCATTCGGACGCACCCCCATCGAGGATGGACACCCCCCCATCGTATGTCCCAGGGTTGGGCCCAAAATTTTTGGTCCATCTGGATACCCCACGAAGCCTGGGGTAGGGGTCGACATATCTCCTGTTAGAACACCGTGAAGTCTTGGCGTCTCAACTTTTTCAAGCTAGGCGTTTCGGTCTTGCTTCGGGGCCCGGGACCCTCACAGATCGATCCAGGCCTGCGGCTTTGGTTGTGATGGTTCACGAAGTTGCCATTTGTTCGCTGCGTCCGATCCCAGGGAAGGCACCGTTACTGCTACATACCATTGCATCGTCTTCGCCTTGTTGGGCCTCCAGAGAGTCGCCTCGAAATTCTGGTCAGATTGTACCTCAGGAGAGGTCCAGGGACAGCAGTAAATATCGATATTATTTGGTTTCCCCAGGTCACGTGGCTGCGCGAGTCCGGGTTCGCGAGGCACCCGGAGTGGTACTCGGTGCCGCCCAATTGTCAGCGTTCCGAAACGCTCTGAAACGGCCACGGTTCCCGATACATCTTCTAGACCCCGCCGGTCTTTTGAGAGTCCCTATCCACTGTTGTCCCGATCTCGGCTTCATCTTAGGGCGATGCGGCGCGAGCCCCCAGAGCTCGATTTTTTGCATCCGACATCGCTGATGCATCGCCGGTGCATCACCAATGCATGGGCGGTGCTGTGCGATTCTCCGACCCCGTCCACTCTGGCCCCATCTGGGCGGCCTCCAGGTACCCTGGCCTGTCCAGCGATACCAGCTTCGAGGACCAGGGCTCGAGCTAAACGGTGTTTTGGCGATTTCGTGGACCGTTTTCGTTTTTATTTCGTTTCGCAGCAAAGGATTAATGAAGCCAGGACAAAGGAAAACGAACACGGAACGAAAACGAAACACGTTGTTTAGTTCGAGTCTTGTCGAGGACGTCCAGATGATCCTGCACTCCCTCGGGAAGGCCGAGTGCAAGAAGCCTTGCGAGCATGCGCCAGCGATCAGGACGGGGTGCACCCTCTGCCCGCCGCCCCGCTTTGGCGGAGCCATCTCGTGGCTATACGAAGGGAAAGCTTGGGGGGGCCTTCTTAGCCATCTTGGGGCCTCCCGGGTGTCGGTCGGACCGAGGTATACGATCGAGGTCGGTTTGAGGAGGGTACCCTAATGTTCTTCGTGTTTGTTGGATGCTCTTGTGCATCCTGGGAGGGTGCACTCGAATGTTCTTCAGTTTTGCTGGCGGAGGGTTTCAGATTCTTGACGAATGTGCTTCTGTCCTAGGTCCGACCGCACCTCTGGGCAATAGTGGGCAATGTTGGGGCTGCCTTGGGGTCTCCAGGGCCCATCTCGAAGGGCCTCTGGAGGGCATCCTGGGGCCAACTTGGGGCACTGTTGTGCGCCATCCTGGGCGATTTGGGGTGCGATCTTGAGGCCACCTTTTGGCCGTCTTGGGCAATCTCGGTGGTTCTTGGGCCGTCTTGACGGCATCTTAGGGGGGTCTCGGAGCAAGACGTTGGATATGCAGAAACATTTAAACACACAGTGCGGTTCAATGTTTTTTGCCTTCTCGGGAGCGTCTTGGGACATTCCTTGGGCCATCTTAGAGGCAATGTTTGGGCCATCATCGGCTGTCTTAGGCTCTTGAGGCCCTCTTCGGATTCCTCGGGGCTGTCAGGGAGCTTCTTCTTGACGCCCCGGGAACCCCTGAAGGACACAGAAGAGACAAGAGACGGCGAAGCAAAGCACGTACGTCGGCCCAGCAGTACGATTCACAGCCTTGCGCCCCCCCAAGGGACAGGCGGACCTACACAGCGAAGCAGGACGACACAGACGTGCTCGAGGTCGAGTCAACAAATGGCCGGGAGATGAGCGGCGAGGAGGTCGTGCTTGCTCCGCCCCAGAGCTGTGGCAACACGACCACGGGTGACTGGTGCTCCATCTCCATCCAGTGGCTGAGGGACTCCGGGTTCGGGGAGCACCCGGATTGGTACCCCGGCCTCAGCCACGAGTCCACCGACAGGGAGATCCAGGCCGAGCTCCACAGGCAGGGCAAGGTCGGCTGCCCCGAGCCCTGCCAAGAGCGGAGGCCAGACATGACGACGACGACGTCGACGGTGGCACCCTCTTGCACTGACGCGGAAGAGGGCTCGGCTTGCTTCGACGCGGTTATGGCTGAGATTGGAGGAATCGATATCAAGGTGGCGCTTGATGAATTGGCCTCTACCTTCAGGAAGGTGCAGGAACGTCTTTATCACAGCATGAAGGCGGGCTGCACCAGACCATGCGCTGCGTTGCATTCGCAAAAGGTGATTGACCAACGCGGCTACATGAAGAAGCCAGTGGAAGATATGACTATGAATGAGATGAAAATCTATTTCGACGGCGATTGGGACGGCATGGTCCCCGCGTCCACCTCCCGCTTCGCGATCCCGACCCAGGACACAGCGGAGGCCTCGACAACGGAGGCCGTGTTGTCTGACGATGCCGCTGCGGAGAACGAATCCGAGGAGGCCTTGACTTATGAGAGCGCCGCGGAGATCGCTGCGGAGAACGCATCCAGTATGGAGCCCATGGCGCTCCAGAAGGCCTCCCCCGAGGAGATCGACGCGGACACCTACGTGGCGTCTGGTCCGGACGAGTCGAACAACTCAGTGGTTATTGGGCCCGTTCGGGAGGGTTCGACCTTTACCACCGGGAGGGATGGCGACGGGCTCGTGGGCAGGATCGTGGAGGGCTCGACCGCGAACAGAGCCACGGAGATCGCTGCGGAGAACGCATCCAGTATGGAGCCCATGGCGCTCCAGAAGGCCTCCCCCGAGGAGATCGACGCGGACACCTACGTGGCGTCTGGTCCGGACGAGTCGAACAACTCAGTGGTTATTGGGCCCGTTCGGGAGGGTTCGACCTTTACCACCGGGAGGGATGGCGACGGGCTCGTGGGCAGGATCGTGGAGGGCTCGACCGCGAACAGAGCCACGGAGATCGCTGCGGAGAACGCATCCAGTATGGAGCCCATGGCGCTCCAGAAGGCCTCCCCCGAGGAGATCGACGCGGATACCTACGTGGCGTCTGGGTCAGACGAGTCCAGCAACTCAGTGGTTATTGGGCCCGTTCGGGAGGGTTCAACCTTTAACACCAGGACTGATGGCGACGGGCTCGTGGGCAGGATCGTGGAGGGCTCGACCGCGAACAGAGCCACGGAGATCGCTGCACAGAACGCATCCAGTATGGAGCCCCCGGCGCCCCGGAAGGCCTCCCCCGAGGAGATCGACGCAGACACCTACGTGGTGTCTGGTCCGGACGAGTCGAACAACGCAGTGGTTATTTAATCGCTTCGCTCATTACGCCGGCCCATACAGTCTCATGTCTGCCGTTTGCCCGAGGGCCTGGTGTCAATGCGGCGCTTTGGGGGTTCTTTTGCCAGGCGTCTCGGGAACCTCTTGGAGGCAGTGTTGAAGCCTCTTGAGGCCCCGTAAGGGCCGTTTGGGGGTCGTTGGGGCTTCTTGTTGGGCTTCTTGGGTGGTTCTTGGGGCGTCTTGGGGCGTCTTGGGGGACTTATTGGCGGGATGTTGGTGGCTTCTGAGGTGCTCCTAGGGGCAGAATCCCCCTTTGGGCGCCTCTTGGGCGGTCTTGGTGCTCTCTTGTGCCGTCTTGGGGTTATCTTGGGCCGTCTTGGGCCGATTTTAGCGGATTGTTGGGCTGTCTCGGGGCGATGTTGGGGGCTATTTGCGTAGTCTGAGGCGCTGTGAAACTCGAAACGCCGTTCATGCGGGAAGTGTACATGTTCCTCTGGGAATGGGACGATTTTTGATTGTAATGGCCGTCTTGGAGGGCCTCTTGAGGCTCTCTTGGGGCTTCTTGGCGGCCTCGACGGCAATTTTGAGGTCATCTTGGGCGATTTGGAACGATTGTTCGGCGACTTGAGGCCGCTTGGATTGTTTCGGGGGCGTTCCGGTGCCGTTTTGGCGCGCTCCTGGAGCGTTCTGGGGGCATGAGCCGAACGTCGCGCTCTGGGCGGCGTGCGGAAGCCATTGTGTGAGAGGGCGCGGTGGTGAGAAGAACAGCTCACCCCACCCGGCTTTCCGGGCTTTCCGGCGTAAGGAGGGCTTCTTCGCGGCACTTGTGAACGCTCCTGGACAGTGCTTTTTGGGCAGGTTCTTGACGCTTGTTGCAAGTCTGTAGGGGCCCCGTTGGGAGTCTACCGAAAGGAGAGCACATTGTAGCATCGCTTGCACTTGCTTGCGTGCTCGGGGGGGCATTTGGGGGGCCTCCTGGGGCCGCTTGGGGGACTCTTGGGGCCTCCTGGGGGCCTCGTTGGGGCCTCTTGGGGCCTCTTAGGGGCTTCTTGGGGCCTCGTGGGAGCTTCTTAGGGCCGAGGGCTCGAAATGTTGTTTCGTATTCCCTCTCTGGGGCCCCTTTGGGGGCGTTCTTGGGGCCCTTTTGGACCGTCTTGGAGGCTTCTTGGGCCGTCTTCGAGCCCTCTTGGGCCATCTTGGGGCCCTCTTGGGGGCCTCTTGGGCCCTCTTGGGGCGATCTTGGGGGCCTCTTGGGCCGTCTTGGGGCGTCGGGAAGCCGAAAAGGTGGAAGCTCCAAAATCTATCAAAAACCTAAGGAAAAACAATGAATTTTGCCTCCTGGGGCCCTCTTGAGAGTGCTCTTGGAGGCCTCTTGGGGCGTCTGGGGGCTATCTTGGGCGTCTTGGAGCGATCTTGTGGCATGTCGGACCCCTCGTGTACCATCTTGGGGGCCTCTTGGGGGCCTCTTGGCCTGTCTTGGGGCTCTCGGGGACGTCTCGGAGCCCTGTTGGTGCGCTCATGGAGCGCTCTGGTGGAGTCGCCCGGGGATCAGCCGGGACCCGCCCGGGGTACTTTTCGTCCGGGGACCCCCAGGGGCCGCCCCGCGCGCGCGAACCAGAGAATTGTTAACCAGCTACCGGAGATCTTAGCACGCCTCTGGCCCGTTGGGCTGGCGAATTGGGCCCGTTCGGGAGGGTTCGACCTTTACCACCGGGAGGGATGGCGACGGGCTCGTGGGCAGGATCGTGGAGGGCTCGACCGCGAACAGAGCCACGGAGACCGCTGCGGAGAACGCATCCGATTTGGAGCCCCCGGCGCCCGAGGAGCACGTGGCTGCAGAGGTCGAAGCGGGACATATCTGCATAAACATCACTTTCGGAGTTCCGCGCGGATTTCTTGGATCGGCGCTGGCTCCCTATCCCTGGCGCGCGGAGCTCGCCAGGGGCGGCCCAGCGCCAACGAAGAACTCCGCGCGCACCTCCGAACTGTTCTGTTGATGCAGTTCTTGTTCTCCTAAGAGGGCGTCGCAGATGCCGCTGCGGAGAGGAGCCTGCCCGTGCCCGAGGTGGATGCGAAGCTCGCTGCTGGCGAGGATGAGCCGCTGCCCTATGTCGACGAGGACGGTGTGGAGACGAGCCCGGCCGAGGAGCGCGAGGCTTCGCGCAGCCCGATGAGAAAAAAACATGCCATGTACCGATGCCACTACCCTTTCTGGTTTTCGCCTTCTTGGACCTCCTTGGGGGCCCTCGCCGCCGTGGTTGGATTCGCCTCGACATCCTGGTCAGAGCGCAACTCAGTCATGCCTGCGTCACAAACAAGATCTCGGCGAGAGGTTTTTGGTTGTTTGCGGCCTCCAGGGGCCCTCGCCGGGGCTGGGGACCGTCAAAATAACGACTCGGGATGGAAAGCCGGCCCTGGGAAAAGGGTCGGGACTTCCGGGGACCTCGCGTTGAAAAGATCAGGGCGTCGCATGTCTGGGAACATACACGGCATGCGCGTAGACTTTTTGGAGGTCCGCGCGGGTTTCTCGGGTCGGCGCTGGCCCCCCCCCCCTCCTGGCGGCGCCTCCAGTGCCACGCCTGGCGCGCATCGCGCGCTGGGGAGGGGATGGGGCGTTTGGTTCCGACCCCCGCGAGGAGCGTCGAAAGCACACGTTTGTGCAGTTTGTTTATGCAGATGTCGAGGGCCCTCCCTCGTGTCCGCCCTCTTTGGGCCTCCCTGGGGGGGGCCGCCGCTACTGCCGAGCCCGCCTCGGAGTCCTAGGCAGAACGTGCCCCGTCAGACGTCAGGGGAGTACGGTAGGCTCGTTTGGTCGACGTGGCCGCGACCCCCGGCGCGGGCGTTCCAGGTTGAACGCCGAGGATCGCCCCGCACCGGCCAACATGAAACGATTCGGCGATCGAGAAATTGCCGATCCTTCAAGGTTCCTTCCTTCTGGCTCTTCCCAAGCACCTTGCTTTGTAAGCGCGGCTCTGAGTCCTGGAGAAATTGCTCGCTGCGAGCGAACGAACACTGGCAGCGCTGCAGGCGAGAATGTCCAGCGAAAAAGAAAGAAAATGTTGAACACTCCACACGGTGTCAGGAACCAGCGCCAGGGTCGTCACGACACGAACCTGCCGTAGCAGTATCGACATGTTCTTGTTCGCCCAGCGCACCTCAGGATGCGTCCCAGCAGGCGCCCCACGACGCGGCCTGGGAGGGCACCGTCGCGGGGGCAATTTTGGAGGCCAGCACAAATCCCGACGCCACCTCGGAGGCCGACCAGCTGAAGGCCGAGCTGGAGAAGCTGAAGGCCGAGAATGACGCCTTGAAGCAGTCGACCGAGCTGGAGAAGCTGAGGGCCGAGAACGAGGCGCTGAAGCGGGCGGCCGAGCTGAAGGCCGAGAACGAGGCCTTGCAGCAGGCGTCCTGCCATAATCTCGTCTGGAAGGGGACGGGAAGGGAAGGTTGGGAGGGGTGTAAGTAAGCTGGGTGCGATTCCATCTCGTCCGACATGTTAAAGAAGATGGGAAGACGACCGCGACGACCCTGACGACGACATCAAGATCAGGAGTGAGGTGAGCAGGACGAGGATATTGAGGACGAGGAGAACAACGACGACCAGGACCAGGTAGTGGTGTTGATGAGGATGATGATGACGATGGGGAGGGGGACAACACCGACCATGGGAAAAGGGAGGGTGGCGATGCTTACGGTGAGGAGTAGGACTACGACAAGAGTACGACATCGATGAGTAAGTTTGGTATTCGACACGCTTTGGTTCACCGCCAGCTCATTCCAGTTTTTGCAGGAAGAGGCGCAGACGGCTCCAAGACGGGATGGAAATATTCAGAAATGTGCGAAACTCTCCCGCAGGGTTGTATTTCTTCATGCGTTCCATGTCTTCTCCATCCCATCGCCGAAGGGGCTCAGGTGTGCCGTGTGGCTGATCGATGCCTTTCATCATTGCCAGCGGATGCTCTCTGAACCTTCACTCCAGAAGTAGCCAGAACACCACTTAACGTCAACCCAAGACGGCCTGACGACTGCCCAAAAGTCTCCAAGAAGGGCTCGAGGGGCCATCTTGGCGGGAAATGCTCGAAATGTCAGTTCGTATTCCCCTTCTTGGGCTTTCCTGGAGCCCTATTGGGACCCTCCAGGGGCTGTCTTGGGCCGTCTTGGGGGGCCCCTGGAGCTGTATTTGGGCACTCTTGGGCTCTTGGGCCGTCTTCAGGCCTTCTTGGAGGCATCATGGGCCGTCTTGGGACGATCTTGGGGGCCACTTGTGCCGTCGTGTTCGCTGTCAAAACGTAAAGTGCGAATGTGCTTATAATGTAAGTTGTCTAAAGGACTGGGATGTTTTTGGACTCTTGGGGCCCTCTCGGCGATTCTCTGGAGGCGCTTTGGGGCCGTCTCGGGGGCCTCGGTGGCCATCGTGCAGCCATCTTGGGTCGTCGTGGGACTACCCTTTGCCGTCATGACGCTCTCTTCGATCGTTTTGGAACTCTGTCTGGACCCTGTTGGGTTGTCTTGGGGCCGGGGTCTCCGGAGGCCCCGAAGGTGCGTTGGCGAGCTCGTACCCGCAACTCCCTCTCCCAGAATTGCCTTCGGACCCGAGGGGAGGGGGAAAGGGGGAGGGGGGGCAGCCAAATGTCTCACACGCCCTTTCACCCCCGGCAAGCGGGGATCGGCGGACTATCGTAATTCAGTGTATTCTGTACCGCTGGCCATGGGGTGAGCCCTGTCGAATAGTCTAACTTGTACTGTACACTTCGTCGTGGTGCACTTGAGACACTCTAAGAGTACCCTTCGGCAACAACATATTAACTGTAATAGTATTGTTTTGACTATTTGCGTGCGTCCGTAGATTCAGCCATAGGTGTAGTAATCGCAGTAGAAGCGTTACATTAGTTTCGGGACCAGTAGTCGTAGTCGCATTGTAGTAGTAGTAGTAGTAGTAGTAGTAGTAGTAGTAGTAGTAGTAGTAGTAGTAGTAGTAGTAGTAGTAGTAGTAGTAGTAGTAGTATTGTCGTAGTAGTAGTAGTAGTAGTAGTAGTAGTAGTAGTAGTAGTAGTAGTAGTAGTAGTAGTAGAAGTAGTAGTAGTAGTAGTAGTAAAAGAAGAAGAAGTCGTAGTCGTTGTCGTAGTCGTAGTAAGAGTAGTAGCAGTGCTAGTAGAAGTAATAGTCGTAGGAATCGTCCAGCAGTAGTATTCGTAGTAGTCTTAGTTGTACTACGCATCGTAGTATTAATGGTAGTAGTAGTAGGAGTAGTCGTAGTAGTGGTAGGAGGAGTAGTAGGAGTAGGAGTAGGAGTAGGAGTAGGAGTAGGAGTAGGAGTAGGAGTAGGAGTAGTAGTAGTAGTAGTAGTAGTAGTAGTAGTAGTAATAGTAGTAGTAGTAGCTGTAGCAGTAGTAGCAGTAGTAATACTAGTACTAGTACTAGTACCAGTAGTAGTGGAAGCGGTCGTAGAAGTACGCGTGGGAGTCGTCGTATCAGTAGTCGTCGTAGTGGTAGTAGTAGTAGTAGTAGTAGTAGTAATAGTAGTAGTAGTAGTCGTAGTAGTAGTAATGGTGGTAACGAAGGTGGTAGTACTGGTGGTAGCAGTAGAAGTAGTAGCAGTAGTAGTAATCGTAGTAGTAGTAATAGTTGTAGTAGCTGTAGCAGTAGTAGTAGTAGTAGTAGTAGTAGTAGTAGTAGTAGTAGTAGTGGTAGTAGTTGTCGTAGTGGTAGTCGCAGTAGTAGTGGTCGTAGTTGTAGAGTGATAGTAGTAGCAGCAGCATTAGTAGTAGTAGATGTAGTGGTAGTATTGGTAGTAGTTGTAGTCGTAGTCGTAGTAGTAGGAGTAGAGTAGGAGTAGTAGCAGTAGTACTAGGAGTAGTAGTAGTAGTAGTAGTAGTAGTAGTAGTAGTAGCAGTAGTGGTAATAGTAATAGTAATAGTAATCGTAGTCGTAGTAGTAGTAGCAGTAGTAGTAGTAGTAGAAGTAGTAGTAGTAGTAGTAGTAGTGGTCGTAGTAGTAGTAGTAGTCGTAGTAGCGTTAGTCGCATTAGAGTATGAAGTAGTCGTAGTAGTCGTTGTAGGCGTAGTAGTCGTAGTAGTAGTAATAGTTGTTGGTGCTGTTCTTGTGTGTAGCAGTAGAAGTAGCAGTAGTAGTAGTAGTAGTAGCAGTAGTAGTAGTGTAGTAGTAGTAGTAGTAGTAGTGTAGTAGTAGTAGTAGTAGTAGTAGGTAGTAGTAGTAGTAGTAGTAGTAGTAGTATTAGTAGTAGTAGTAGTAGTAGTAGTAGTAGTAGTAGTAGTAGTAGTAGGAGTGTAATAGTAGTAGTAGTAGTAGTAGTAGTAGTAGTAGTAGTAGTAGTAGTAGTAGTAGTAGTAGTAGTAGTAGTAGTAGTAGTAGTAGTAGTAGTAGTAGTAGTAGTAGTAGTAGTAGTAGTAGTAGTAGTAGTAGTAGTAGTAGTAGTAGTAGTAGTAATAGTAGTAGTAGTAGTAGTAGTAGTAGTAGTAGTAGTATTTTGTTGTACTCGTAGTAGTAGTAGTAGTAGTAGTAGTAGTAGTAGTTGTTGTAGTAGTAGTTGTTGTAGTAGTCGCATTAGTCGTAGTGTTGACCGGGGCTCCTTGCTATCCCGGAGGTCTGGGTGTCTGCCTGGAGACTTTTACGATTCCATGCCAGATGCCTTTGGGGGGGGTCGTCCAGGGGCCCAGGGGCGTCTTCGTTAGAATCCTGAGGTTTCCTCGGGATTCTCAAGGATTCTCAGGAATGCCTGGGGATTCTTCAAGGATTCTTTTGGCAGTCCTGTGGGGTTCCGACAGAGTCCCCTTTGTGGCTCCTGATGATTCCGATCGGATTTCGGAGACTCTCCCGGGGATTCCGGAGGACTTCTTTAGAAGGGTTTCCCGAGGACACCACGGGAATCTCATGGTTAGCCGAAGGATTCTGGAGGATCCCTGACCCTGACGGATTTCTTCCAGATTCCCAAATGGATTTATCAAGGATTCTCGCGGAGTCCCGAAAATGATCCCGAACAAAATGATGGGACTGATGCAGTTTCCATGTGGTGTCATACAGATTCCGAATAAGAGCACAGTTTTTGTCATGAGGCCTCTACCGCTTGCCGACTTGGAATCTTATATGTTTCTATGGCAATCATACAGCCGAAATGTGAGATTGATACATGTTCATAGGCGGGCATCACCGCTACTCGTATACAAGCATTGAACAATCACATGCGTCATGCAGGTTTCACATGAGAACCATGCAGTGTTCAAGTGAGGACCATGCAGCTCTCAGGTGTTAATTCTGCAGCCGTCGTGTGCGAACCATACGGCTGTCAGGTGGGATCATGTAGTTGTCGTACGAGCATCCTGCTTTTTAATTTGACATGTACACTTGCCTATTCCGACGGTGGGACACCGCATGACAATCTCCTTCGCTTGCTGGAGAATAGCGTCCTGCCTCCTCCTGGTTTCTGTTTTCTGGTTTCAGGCATGGGGTAACTCCGAAGCGTGTGAAATTCAACATGCAAGATGTGACAACAGGATGGGCGGGAGACGGCCTGAGCAGGTTTCCGCAGCTTGCACGGCCTGTCCGGTCCGCTCCACTGTCGTTGTCGTCGCTGCCACGCAACCCCCCATTTTCGGGCACAGTAGTAAGTGCCGGCGTTCGAAACTGAAGTAAGGGCTCCTGAAGTAAGTAACAACAACTTCTCGGTGGACCTCCCAGGTCCAGCCTCCAGCACTGGCTCTCAGGGCCGCCCCAGGCCACAGACAGCTTCCTTGGAGCTCACACAGCCCCGAGGGGTATTCTTTGAGCAGTCGTCCTGAAACCCCCCCCGCTCCACGACCAGAGGACTCTGGAGTTCCCTCTGGGATGGTTGCATCTGTACCCATCCAGAACTTTCTTTGACCATGATCCCCAAACCAGGCAGGTGGATAGTGAAGAGTGTTGTGGGCTTCTCATACTCGCAACCATACATGCGCTGAGCCACGCACACAGCTTCTACACCAGCGAGAGTCATGCTATATACTTCATCTCCTCCAGCAGCCAAGACGATCAGCTCCTCGGATCTAAGAGGCCTGGATCCGCGTCCCCTATTGAAGACATTATGCCGTGAGGCTCTGGCGGATCTGCAAAGGTCAAACGTACAGTGCACATTTGACTCCTGGACACTCGCCCACGGAATGGGCCCCACCCTATCCGCCCGTCCAGCCCGTCGTCCTGGCGCCGCGGGGCCTTGCTCCGCAACACGTACACCGCGCCGAAGTAGTATGCAGGCGGTGGGGGACGACCACGGGCGACGTGGGGGGAGGGGCCGAAAACAGCTACATGCGGGACACCATCTTCAGCAGCGGTCCACTTAGCTGCTGTGGGGAGTGGGTGTGACAGGGTGTGCTTGGAAGCTTGCCAGGAAGGAAGGCCCGCTTCTCTCTA